CGCCACTTCCAGCTTTTTTCTTTTTGCTTATGTGGTGCTGAGGAATTGAACCCAGGGCCTCATGCATGCAAGGCAAGCACTCTACCACTGAGCCACCTTCTCAGCCCCCAGAACTTTTCTTATAGAAAGTAAATCAGTCAAGCTTTAAAAGAGGTTACATTCATAAACTTATATTTTTATTCTCTTTCTGTACATATTGGCAATGATAAAGCTTAAAGATGCCTGTCCTATGAAACAAGAAATAAGAAATTTACATAAATAATTTATACTTCAGAAAATTAAAGTTGAAAAATATTTTCCACATTATTAGAGTTCACAGTATTGAAAGTACATCAAGCTTTCCCCCCTATATTTCAAACTCTATTGTCTTAGCAGAGAATAATAAAATCTAATCAGAAATAAAATGATCAAGTTTCTGTCTTATTCAGTGCACAAGTAGACATTATTTCAGTATCAGGCTTTGCAGCCACGGCCGCAGCATTTCATCCCAAACCTTCACCTCCTGAGTACTGTGACCTAAGAGAGGTCACATGTATGGAACAGTTTGGCGACACCAAACCATTCCACAGGTGACACATTCACCAAGTGGTAACATCTGGTGGTCTGATGCCTCATTTCCACATAATACTTTTAGAGCCCTGAAAATGGAAATGCTGGCATCTAACACAGTTGAGCATGTTAACACTAGTACAAGGCACTGTGCTGTGGGAAAGATAATGTTTGCATAGATTGCTTAGCGATTTAGTATGCAGTGAAATGCAGGCCCCAGCATGTGGCTTTGTGATGGATGAAGCTGCGTGATGCTCCTCAGCCCCAGGAGGTGAACTGTCCAGACCCTGTCTTGTGGGCAGGTCCCCTGGTGCTGTCCTCCCCAGTTTCCTACAGGAGAGTTTTCTGTTCAAATAGCTGCAGGTCAAAGCGGACCCAGACCTCTCCTGTGGGGACCTCATGCAGCAGCAGTCGGCGGGTTGTAGGGCCTTTGCTTTCCTGTTCTGTTCGGATTTTTGCCACTGGAACTTCAGTACGACCAAGGAAATCTGTGAATAGATCATGCTGGGGTTGAAAGTCTTTATCTCTGTGTGTCTGTGTGTATGTCTGTGTATGCACCAGTTACGAGGCTTGAACTTAGGGCATGGGCACTGTCCCTGAGCTTTTTTTGGTCAAGGCTAGTAACTCTACACTTGAGCCACAGCTCCACGTTTTGCCTTTTTGGTAGTTAACTGGAGATAAGAGTCTCATAGACTTTCCAGCTCCATTGGCTTCAGAACTGAGATCCTCAGATCTCAGCCTCCTGAGTAGCTAGGATTATAGGTGTGAGCCACCAGTAGTAAAAAGTCTTTGTTCTTTATAAAACTATCTAAAAATTGCCACAAACAGGACTCATAAAACTTTCAAACACAAAGCAAGTAACTTTTGTCATATAGATGTCTGATACTGTCAGTGGATACAGATACAATGACAAGAATGTCTGAAAGCAGCTGCCTATTTGAAATTCAAGTCTCTCTAGTCAGAGAATGTTGCAGGCATACAGTATAACCAGTGTTTACTTATGTATGCAGGGATCACTGGAGTCAAAGGTGTCCTGTAACCCCGAGGAAGGACACCCATTTGCTGGCATAGGCCTGTGTTATTTCTCGTAGGTAGCAGCCGAGCACTCTGGATCCACACTCTAGATTCCAGAAAACTGCAAACACCCTGAGCCCTGCTATCCAAGTGATACTTACCATCTGGAGAAAACTGGTCTCTGTCAAACATAGTGAGACATAGCACATCTTGGTAAAGATCCTTAATGAAGAACTGGCAGTTAAAATTCCACTTGGGATTCAATGTGTCCTGGAGGGTTCTGGTGGTGTAGCTCTGGGAGCCCATGCTGATTTCACAGTAGGGATTGCTCTTTCCTACACAGAAACAAGCCATCAACAAATGTAACATGGCAAGGGGAGTGACTGCCTAGGCCACAGTCAAGCTGCAGCAGGAATTGTGACGTTGCTCCTCTTCACCACAGCAGCAGGAGCCACTGCCTGGAGAAGCAGGCCTGCCTTGTGGTCTAGCCACAGGACTTGTGTTCCCAACACTGATGGCATCGGACACCTGGAGTGACTGCAAGCTCTAGTGTGAGAGCTGCTCACACGAGCTGCATGTGCCTTGCAGTGCACTTTGTTTGCCTATGTAGAAGCACTCCAGCAGGTCCAATAAAGAATCTATCATCATTTTTGTTTGTTTTTGTGCTTGGTACTAGCGCTTAAACTTGCCTAGCTTTTTCAATCAAAGCTGGTGCTTTACCACTTGAGCTGTACCTCCTTTTCTAGCTTTTTACTGGTCAACTAGAAACATGAATCTCTTGGAGTTGTCTGCCTGGGCTGGCAGGTTTCCGACTCTTGAGTAGCTAGGATTACAGGCATGAGCTTCTGCTGTATATATAACCATCTTAACAGGAGTAGAAATACTGTTTTTAAAAAAATGTTCTAGGGCTGGAGGCCAGTACTGCCATAAACAAACAAATTCATAAGAAACAAATACTTAAATACCTAAACAAATAGCATTCTATCCTTCAGTGTTCTAAAGGGTTACCCAGGAAAGAACAGGGCAATGCCATATCACTGAAAGAAAGAAGCACTTACCATTTGGTTTACAGGCCTTTAATTCTGTAGCTTCAACAACATGCACCATAAGACGCCCAATACCTGAAGTCTTCTGAGAGCGGGCTACAAAAGATGATGACGTGCGTTAGTTTCTTCTCGGAGAACGTGGGCAGCACGGTGAAGATGCTAGCTGTGGACAGTCACATTCTAGCTTTCTTGATACTTTTTTTTTTTTGGATGCTAGAAATGGAACCCAAGGCCTTGTGCTGGTTAGAACATGCTCTATCACTAGCTACACTCCTGTTCTCACAGAATACTACCTGAGCCTCAGTTGCCTCTTCATTGGATCCAATAGCTCAGCATCTGGCTTGTCCATGCCTCTTTGTGGGCCATGTCACCTGCTAGGAATGTCTTGTCCACTATCTCTGCCTGTTGGCATCCTACACATTCTTCAAGATACAGGTCAATCTCAGCCATTTCCTAGACCTATTCTCTCCTCTGAGTATTCACTAGCCTTGACTTAAGAGTAGCCTATACAGCCTGTGGGGGCTGAAATTCTGTGTAATATCTGTCTCCTCTGCCAGACAGGAGCCAATACAGTACCATGGACTGTTTAACTCATCCTTGTATAAACCTTTAAATGCTTCATAAATATGCTAACTATAAAATGAGTTTTATTATGACATTTTTTTCTTTTTAAGTCTTTTATTAAGTTGATGTACAGAGATGTTTATAATGACTTTTTTTGGGGGGGGGCAGTCCTGAGGCTTGAACTCAGGGCCTGGGCACTGTCCCTGAGCTTCTTTTGCTCAAGGCTAGCACTCAACCACTTGAGCCACAGCGCCACTTCCAGCTTTTTCTGTTTATGTGGTACTGAGGAATGGAGCCCAGGGCTTCATGCATGCTAAGCAATCACTCTACCAATAAGTCACATTACCAGTCCTCTATTACAACATTTTAATGTATGTATATACTGTATTTCTTTGTTGTTTATTAAAGACAGGGTCTTCCTCTGTAGCCTAGGTTGGCCTTGAATTTCGGATCCTTATGCCTTAGCCTCCTGAGTGCTCAACTCAAGTGTCTTCAAATGGCATGGTCAAAATGTGAACATCAGCTAGGCACCAGTGGCTCACGCCTATAATCCTAGCTACTCAGGAGGCTGAGATTACCAGAAGTGGCGCTGTGGCTCAAGTGGTAGAGCGCTAGCCTTGAGCTGAAGAGCTGAGGGACAGTGCCCAGGCCCAGAGTTCAGGCCCCACGACCAAAAAAAGCGAACATCAGATGTCAAAGTCTCACCAAAATTCCAGTTACAAGTAAGTAAATATTTCATCTTAGCAGTCAGCCATACTTCGGGTCTAATTATATTGAAGGAAGTATTCAAACTGCTTCTATACTGGAGAGAAGTGAGTTAGTGGGCTCCCACCTCACATGCTCTTGGTAAACATGAAGCTTAGTTAAGCAGTCTAAGGATTTAAAATAAACATAAAGGACGCTTGGTGAATTCTGGGCATGTGAAGCTTTCTCCATGAGAAGTAGCCCACCCCTAGCCATGCCCACACCTCTACTTGAAACTTGCCCTTGAAGGTGTGGGCTAGCCTTGGCTGTCCCTATATGTACAGACATTATCGATAAAACAAACACAAGAACAATTCAGAATTACACACATACACACACACACATGTAGAGAGAGAGAGAGATGGCAAGCAAAACTTTGATTTTCCTCTTTGATCAATTAAGAGATCGTATGTTTTATGAAGTGATTGAGTTGTTGACTTTGCAATAGCAAGTTTTTAAGGTAGCATTAAAACAACTTTCAATTAGCAAAAGCCAATTTGCACATACATTTCAGGAGTATAAAGCAAAAAAAGGAAACCTGAATAAAAGAATATATAAAGAGCTGCATGAGCCTAAGTAGGACTGGACAGGGGAGAGGGAAGGGGTACCTCAGCGCACAATTCTCATCGGGAGACTCCACTGAGATGGGGTGGCGAACATGGGGCTTGGCGTTCATGTGGGGTAGGGGAGAATGTAGGGGCTGGTGACAGTTCTGGTCACAGAGCTATAGGGGCTGGGAGACTGGATTCACTGGAGCTACGCTGAGCTGGTAGATGGCTCCTCTTCAGAATAGAAAGGAGGGGGCTGGGAAGGTGGCTCAGTGGTAGAGCGCTTGCCTTGCATGCATGAGGCCCTGGGTTCGATTCCTCAGCACCACATAAGCAGAAAAAAAAAAGCCGGAAGTGGTACTATGGCTCAAGTGGTAGCATGCTAGCCTTGAGCTGAAGAGCTGAGGGACAGTGCCCAGGTCCAGAGTTCAGGCCCCATGACCGGACCCCAAAAAAAAAAAAAGAATAGAAAGGACACAATGAGGCAAATACAGAGCCACTGGGTACAAGTCACAGGCAGTATCTATGGAGTTGCATTCAGGGAGTTTATGGTCATTAAGGCAGAACTGGAGGCTCAGAGGCCTTAGGCAGAAGTAATGGAGAGCTAAGGTCCAGAGAACAATGCAGACCCAGCAGGGCAGGGCTCCAGGAAAAAGTCACCAGGTTAGAGGCCAAGAAAGGGAGCAGAAAGGAAGCACTCTCCCTGGGGCCTGAAAAGAGCCAAGACTCCCCATGTGGAGGCTTCCAGATGGCAGCAGAGCAAGGCTGACGTTAGCGAGCTGATGTGTGGCAGGGTGCTGGAGATGGGCTTTGCGTTTGGGCGCTGCTACCCATAGTGCTGTTCAGGAGGAGGAGCCACTGCTGGAAGAAGGCTGCTGAACCTTCTAGAACAGGGGGTGAAGGGAGGAAGAAGAGCTGGGAAGCAAGAAGAAAGATGGTTTGGTAGCAGCCCGCTCAGGACATGATGTGGTCCAGAAGGAAGGGGAAGGAGGAGAGCCCGACTGCCTGCCACTGGGAACAGGGCGCTGGAGCATGGAACGCGAGCCAGGAGCACGTCTACGTCTCCACTTGTTCCCAGGGTGGGACTAGCAGGCTGAGGAGGGCTGGGGGAGCTGGAGGAGGAGCAGGCTGAGGGCCCATGACGCAGGCTCTGGAGTCAGATGGGACAAGATGGACCCCATAGAGGTGAGGTCAGGTGTGAACAGAATGCAGTGAAGAATTGGGGAAGGCCTGCTGGCCCTGGGTGCCCCCCACTGTGTGGTGGGTCTCAGGAGGGGCTGGTGCTGGGCTCCACGGCAGGCTCAGTCACAGGGCTTACTGCAGGGATGGATAGCACCTTGTGTCCTGGGCCACACCCTATCCTGCCCACAGTGCCCAGCTGCCCATTCCAGCCCCCAGGAGCCCAGGACACCATGAGGTACCTTGGTAAGCCTTCTCTCTTTTCCTCTTCTCAGTGTCGATGTACTGCTCGGAGGCTGCCTTGATCTTCTGGACCCAGGCCGTCCTGGGGGAGAAGCAGAGTATGACCACGGGCCTTCCCACACACCTCACAGGCTCACACAGCCACAGTGTACGGCCATGGGCCTTCCCACACACCTCACAGGCTCACACAGCCACAGCTCCCGGCCTTCTTCCTTCTTTTGCTAACCTTGGCTTTAGCAAGTTTCCAGTCACATGCTTACTGGCTCGCCTTTTTTTTTTTTTGCCAGCCCTGGGCCTTGAACTCAGGGCCTGGGCACTGTCTGAACTTCTTTTGTCAAGCCTAGCTCTCTACCACTTGAGCCACAGTGCCACTTCTGGCCTTTTCTGTGTATGTGTTATTGAGGAATTGAACCCAGGGCTTCATGCATGCTAGGCAAGCACTCTACCATTAAGCCACATTCCTAACCCACGCTTACTCTTAATTCAAGTGCAGGACTCAACTGCTAAATGAGAATGAGCTGAGAATTTCCAGACAATTCCTGGATGCATACAAAACAACATGCCTTTGCAAGGAGCTGGGGACCCAGAACTAGAAGATGCTACCGCAGTGACAAGTCAGCACCACAGCTTGGTACCCAGAGAACTATGTGCATGGGAGCAGCAGTGTCCCCTGGCCTTGCCATTGGAGGCATTTGTCACTGAGCTCATCCCCAAGGGAGTTTCCCAGAAGGGAAGCATAGGTGGCCGGCCAGGAGGCAGCTGTCTGGAAGCGTGCAGGCCTAAGGCCTGTAGAGAGGGGACTAACGCTGGACAGCCCAGGAAGGCCTTGGGAAGAGTGATGGCCATGGACTTTTGTCTGAGTGCAGCCGCTGACTGGACTTTAGTGGGAACTGAGTGTCGTATCTGCACATTTGGAAGATGGGAAGGAGCAGAGTGAGCAGAGGCTGGAAGCAGGAAACAGGTTAAGAGGTGGTTGTGCGATGAAGCACATCTAAACCAGGTCCTGCTGAGGACTGGAGCCAGGCGTGAAATAAGGGAGGCTAGGACAGTTAGTAGGACTTGGGCACAGGTAGAGGTGGGTTTACAGCAGAGGGAGGAGAGTCAGGTTTCAAGGCAGGTCTTACGTGGTCAGGACTGACCTCTCATTAATGTTGTCAGTTCGGAGGGTGTAGACCCGGTCGATGTGGGAAATGTGGAAGATGGGCTCATCGCTGGAAGGGTCTGTGGGAAGTTTCACCAACACTTCATTCAGGAAAATGGGCTGAAAGAATTAGGGCCAAAACACAGGCTGTGAGAGGGACCAGAACACCACCCACCTATGTCTGGAGACAGTATTTGTTTGTTCTGAAGAGCTGTGTGCATAAGTAGAAAAGGGTCCAGTGCTATCTAGGTCTTTTACCTAGAAAGATAGAAATGACCTCCATTTTGTAAAGTAAGGTAAATGTCCGGGGTGGACCAGGTGCTAATGAGTGGGCACAGGAGCTCGCATGTCCTGCAGCTGGTAAGGCGGGTTGTTCTTTGTACGCTAACGCCTGGCCCATGTCAGGCTCAGTTTGCAGTCTGACCTGATGCTGAGTATGCCCAGAGGTAAGATCAGGTGTCTTTGTGTTTGCTAGGGGGAGCTAAAATCCAAAGCTGGGTCTTGCTGATGCCCAACTGTAGGTAGAGGGGCCTGGGCACTGGGCCCCTTCCTTGGAAAGTGGCAAGGGAGTCACCTGATCAGGTGGAGTTCTAGGAAGGGGCAGGCTCAGCTGGAGGCAGGGATCAGGTACAAGCTCTGATGCAGTGTGTGGGGCTGGATGTGTGGCACTCACCGTTTTATACATTTTGAATTGAGCATTGGACTTGGAGCTGAAGAGTTTGTCAGAGGCAGAGGAAACAGTGAACTGCTTCACCATGTAGGTAAGGAGGAGGAAGTCATTGAAGAGGAACCCGTGCAGCTCCTTATTGCTCTTGGTCTTGTATAACTTGCCACTGTGCAGAAGTTTCCGGGGTCCCAGGCAGTTGGTGAGGGAGTTGAAAATAAGTTGCTTATAGAGGAAGAAAATGTCACTTTATGAGTCCTGGCCAAGCCATCCCAGTATCTCCAGTTCCCTGAGCCTGAGGGTACTGTGGGGAGTTTTCTAGGTAGGAAGGTGGCTTCAATATTCAGAGTTCCACCTGGCCCGATGAAAACATATACTTCTTCCCACAGAATATTGATTCTACCACCTGAATTTGAAGAGCTGAAAACACCCCAAATTGTCTGTTCAAATAACAGGAAAGATGATAATGTAAGGAGTGCCTGTAGAGGTAGATGCCGAGTGTGCACAGGCCCCGGTGAGCCGGGCACCGCCCACACTGGGGCTGGGGTGGGGCGGGCTCCCAACCCAGCTGCACCCTCACCTCTGCAAGACCTTCACACTGGACATGGGCCTGGATCCACTCCAGCCGGTCTGAATTCTCCTTCTCCCGAACTCCCTCGTTCACTTGTGAGCACAGCTCCTCCGCCCGCTCCAGGGCCAGCTTGAGGGAGGCGAAGTCCACGTGGCTCTGTGAGGTGTTCTCCAGGATCTGGAAAGTGGGCAGCATCAGGTGGTGTGTCCTCACTGCCCACCACCCAGTTACTCATCACTCATCCTCCTAGATGGGGTTGGGGGTGGGGAGGCTAGGCGAGGCACAGAGGTACACATGTTACAGAGAGAGGCATGTTGTTTGCTCTCAAGAACCTCAAGTCCCCATGGTTTCCCTTATTTGCAATGTCTAGTATATGTGTGAGTCAAGCAGAAAAGGTCAGATAAGGTGATGTTAGGGAAATGAACCCTAAGATATGGATTCAAATGTTTTTTTTTTTCCTTTCACGCGATTGTTTCTAATGCATTTATAAGATTATTTCTTTGTGCTTTGTATGTCCCTCCCCCACAGTATAACCCCTGCTTTCACTGTATTTGATGTCAGTATAATTTGTGGAGGGGAAGGGGAAAAACAAATCGTTTAAATAGGGATACAGGTGGA